TAAACCACTGTGCGCGAAGTTGAATTTTTCATAAGGCCACACTGTTTTCAATGGAAGACATCTATGCGATCATTTTAAGACCTTAATCTTTGTAATCCGTTCTATAGAGTTTAGACCATCGTACTGTACCGGTTGACGTGATGTGGAAATGAATTTTACGCCGCTACCCTTATATCGCTATGTTTAGCTCGTTCCTGGTCGTGATCTAATAGCCTATTTCCTCCAAAAGCTTAACTGAAGTTATGAGCTCAGATATGTTCCAAGAATTGTAACATACGTTGATCGACAAGGCTTATTTCTTGATTTTTGTTTTTCTCCTTTCGTTTGCTTCTACCTAATAGGTGGAATTATCTCTTTCGAGTTTTAATCTCCTTTTTCCAATAGGCATACACTGCACTTAAGGCTTGGTGGAAATCAACTATAAGCGTCGGACAAAAATAATGTTCGTACAAAAGTTATGGAGGACCAAATTCTCTACTATGGCATTTGAATATGGTACGTATTTCAATAGAAATTTTCGAAAAATGGCGAAAACCGTGGCAAGGTACAATTTTTTCCCACTTTTTGCTAATTATTTACAATAAAAAATGATTTTTTTAGCTTATATATAAACAATGTTGGAAATTAAATCTGTGTTCGTATGGAATATTAGTTTATGTGGGGAAGCTAGCTTAAGTATAATGCGGCATTCCCTTCATTCTTTAAACGACAAGGAATTTTTTGATGAGACTTAATAAGAATATTGACGTGCTAGTATCGGAACCATTTCTGCACGTTTATTTGCCAAAAGTTCTTCAACGGCTCGGCGCCAGTGAGACATTCGCAATCGCATGCTGCGAATGCCGCATTATACTAAAGCCAGCCTTTCGACATAAGCTTATGTTCCATACGAACTTAGAAATTAACAACAAATTTTTATTTAAACGTTTTAACGAAAAATGCAAAATAAGTTTTCAAATCGCAAACAACCCAAAAAAAACTAAAGTCCAAGATGGCGGAATGTTCCCATAAGAAATTTAGGGGCAAGACTGTAGATCAATGGTATACGTATCAAATAAAAAAAAATGCATCAAAAGTTCGCTACTAAAATTGTTTTCTTCGTACAAATTTTGTCTAAATTTACTAGGCTAAAAATTGACTTCTCAAAACCTAGAAAATTGTAATTTTACGTGGAAAAACCTCATTAACTTTAAAATATGGGGAGATTTAAAAAAATGTTGTGTCATTAAAATATATTAAATTTCCCACTGACTTATAGGCGATTTTGACCACTTTGACAAAAATTCCATGAACTGTAGGGCCTTTGAGGCATGTATTTCCGTTGTCCGATTTTAAAAATGTTTCGCAGGGCACGTTTTAATGACCAAAGGAACACTTCTAGAAGAAGTCTTTCTTTGTAGGACAAAGTTGCAAAATAAGGCGCAGTCTAATGTACATACATAGATACCCAAATACATAATAACCAAATTTAAATAACAAAAACAAATAATATGTTGAAACTTGTCAAAATGTGGTGCGGTTATAATGTGTTTGGCCACTGCATGTATTAATAAGGATTACATAAAAAATTGTCAATAAAATTTGATTCCGAGGGAATTTTTTTATATGTCATTGCATTTGATATGTAGTGACTGCACTATTTGAGTATTTATTCACTATCAATAAATATAGTTATGTATACTATGTATAGTGAAATAAAATAGCACTATCACTAAAATTTTTAGTGGTAGTGAAGAAAGTTTCCACTGCCACTAAACTGGTTATAAAAAGTTTAAAATTTAATATCTTGCAATATATTTAGTTATGCCTAATATACTCAAAATTTAGTGCACTACCCCCAACTATGAAAATAACAATAAAACAAAAACTGTGTATGTATTAATGAAGTGTTATTTATACTCTGTTAAGAATATTTGGAAAATCAAATGAACAGATATTTACCGGATATCCGGATAGCAAAATGAATGAATATTAACCGGATATCCGGATTTTATCTGTATACACGTATAGCCGAACGGATATCTGGATATCCGATTATACGGATAGTTGCAGCCTTAACACATAGCTATGTTTGTACCAGATTTACTTAAATTTAGAAAAATGAAGACTTACTGTAATTGAAACAACCGCAGTTATATTTTATATAAACCTAGAAGCCGTACTTTTAAATGCGAAGTATGTACTTAAGTTTGCGTGCACTCATACCCAGTGGGCAAATGTACAAAATGTACAAATGTAAATAATGTATGGTAATCGAAAAAAAAAAATCAATAAAATAACCGTTTTCACATTCGAAAATGCATTATTTTTCCCACGGCGATGTCTTACGAAAAGTGGAATGCTTATTACATACTGTCTAGCATGGTGCATAGATAGCATAACTAGCATGATTGTTGTTGTTTCATGTGTTCAAACAACAACAAAATTAGCCAATCATGCTAATTATGCTATCTAGGCACCATGCTAGACAGTATGCACCGGATCGTGAATACCCCTATTATTTATCACGCATGTAATGCATTACTAGTTTTCCCACTGGGTACTTTCATATGTACGTGCATATACATATATGTATGTGCATATACATATACTGCATACGTATATATGTACATATTTGCATATGCATATTGTAACTTACGAATATGAACAAGATATAAAAAGGTTTACTACTACAAATATATGTACATACAAATGTTCGCAAACACTTAATAATCTACTAAACTTTGGAAGGATGAACTTTGTTTTCATACCGCAAAACTTGCATACATACATATGTATGTAAGTACATTTAACGGAATAAATGGTTGTCATTTATTAATACCATTATTAACTGTAGAAAGAATAACAGTATTATTTTTTACTCCGCATTTTGAAACAGTTTTTATGGGCATATGCAATAAAAGCGAAAAAGCTTTTCTTTAGTGGGTTTGGGTTTGTAGAAGATACATACATACATATGGATATGTTTCACCGAAACGTAAAAACTTTAAACTTTTTCTATATGTAACTATTTTCCATATACATACATATGTATCAGTATACCAGTGTGACCACTTTGTAGGTAATTCCTCAGAACGTGTGGAATTTCGAGTGCGCTTGAGTATTTTTTGAGGATTTTTATTTTGAGGAATTTTTTCTCGAGATATTTGCAGATAGCAAATACAACAATGTTTTACTGAACAGAGTTGTTAAATCCCTCTGCAAATTTTTGAACAAAAAGCTTTCCGAAGTTTTATAAAGGGCGAAATACACCACACAAGCGGCTTGTCAAACATTCTTCAAACCTACTTTTCCCGTTTCGCCATACTCCATGCAAACATGGCTCGTTCAAGTAAAGAACTTTAGTTTTCTTCCGGTTCCCAATGTAAAAGAGTTTGGTTTTCTTCGATTTTTCTCTTTTCATTCGGTGAAAATTTCATTGCGAATGAGGCGATTTTACTATACACAACGAAAGCGGTTTGATCAAACTTCAACATGGCGGCCATAGAATAAAAAAAAACTCGATTTTTGTTCACATTTCCCTCAAGCGGCTTGTCAAACCATCAAACATCCCCATACACAACATAAATAGCTTTAAATCTGCATTTGCTGCTAAATATTCAAAATTTTATCGATAATTTTTTCATTCCATCGTTATATTTTCAAATTATTTTGAACTTCCAAAATCTCGATAACGAATGGAGAGAACACGCATTTTTCGATCATAAGAATATTCATATTTATTCTTCAGTAGATCCAGAAAATTATAGGAAGAAAGTGCTGGATTAAAAGATTCTTCAGGTTCATATAAGTCTCCTAGTTAAAAACAATTATATCTGCATTACTAGATAGCCCTTTTCTAATGCTTCAGTAGAACGTATATTTAGTAGTTTAAAAATGTGTAGGACTGACTTGAGGACCAGATTGAGCTGTGATATAGTTGCAGCAACAGTACATAAGTATACACAAAGCAAGGCATAAAAAATAACGGTGCGATAAGGTTACATTTTTCGGTAGAAACGAAATCACCATTACTTTACCTTTTAAGCCGTAAAAGCCGAGAGCCACAATGCCTGGAAACTTTGAAAAATTCGATGCCTATCTGAGTGTTTAAATTGTTGTACTTAGAGGTCGTTCTGAAGTCCAAATTTCGCTATCAATGCTGAATTTTTTTAACTATCTTATATCATAGATTTTTTCTGAGTAAAATCGTTATAAATATTTGGATCCGCAGTTTATTTTATAATCTTACGAATTTTGAAACATTTTCAGGCAATATTAACGCTCCCACTTTATTGTGGCTTATACCTAGATTCGCTAATGACTGTTACCTCAATGTACATATGAACATATATAAGTATGAATTTACACATATAAAACTGCACCCTCGTACATATTACACATATTATTCAAAAGTTTGTTAACTCAAACTTTCCACCTTGTAAGAAAACACAGAAAATCTTTCTGAGCTCATGTAATTCATATGAGGAAGGGATTCTTTACTGTGCTTTGGGCAACCTATTACAACAAAATACTTTTGAAGAATGTGGGCGATTTGTACCCAGCAAAAAACCCGGATTCGCCTCTTGTGGTAAGGTGTTTACATAAGAAACGAATGCGGAATCAAAAAAAAATTTAAAAGCGCTTTCGCTTCTAGAGGCATTACTTTAGCATAGGCATCTCATTTGTGGTTATGGCTTGCAGTCTTCGCATTCCCAGTAATTGGTTAAAGAAGCGAAAAAAAATTTAAATTTAAATTTAAAGTGATTCCAGATTTTGTGCTGGAAACGTATTGGAGAAGGTATTACAGAGAGCGCAAAGTCATCTGCAAGTTATTACCGCCAACGCCATGCTAAAGTAATGCCTTCTAGAAGTGAAAAAAGCAACACTTACTAACTTCTGTTTCGATTCCACATTCATTTCTGACGTATCGTGTGTTTTGCTGGGTAGTTAATACATATGTATGTACATACAAGTACCGCACTAACCATACACACACAACTTCGTATTAGGGTACATACCAATTATCAGGCAACCCTTGTAAAATATCGTTTGCTTTTCTTGACACTCGCCGCTTTGTATGACTGCTTTTTTCACACGATTCCCCAACTTTTAAGATTTGGCCTATTCCGTTACTTCGCACTGGAATATTATGACGGCACTAGCTTTGCAGTTTTGTACAGTCCTTTTTCTTTTTTTATTAAACAATCGTATTTCAAAAGGGACTGTACCACCTTGAATGTCAAAAATAATAATAATCAGTCCACTGGGTATTTGTATCTATGTATTTTGTTTTAAAAAATTTATTGTGATAAACAAATAATAAGCACAAGTCCTTGAAAGCATTCAAATACTTTATCACTTTTATTCACCGTTAAATAGAAAAATTCCGTTCGTACCACTTTCAAGTGCTTCCACCACTAACGAAAATGCATAAGCAATATTTCTAACCGCCAAGTCCCAAAGCCGACTATAGCTCAAACTTATGTCTTGACGTTATGAATTGTCAATGAAGACTGTTTCTTAAATGCGAAAGCTTGCCAGCATTTAAAAGTTAGTGGACAGCAGCGGAGATACTGCTGGTAATGTGTGAGACGATGACGTTTCCCTATTAAAAACCGACACACCACGAACATACTGAGCACGAAAGGCATACTCTTTAATAGAGGTGACATTTACAGTGGTACAAAGCATGAATTATTTTTAATGCTTTTATTTATACAGATGTACATACATACATATGTATGTTTGTACATTAAAATATACTTTTGTGCTTATATACTGCATACATACATATGTACATATGTATGTAGAACCCATTAAATTAGGTTCTTAAATCCTATATGTTCATATACACATACATTAAACCGTGCACCATTTCCACCGACTTTCAAAAATTTCTTTACAGTGTATTCCGAAATTCCGGGTGCTTAATTTAACAAATTTTACTCGAATAGATGACTCTGTTAAATCTAATATTTGTCTTTAAAGTTTCCAAAAAGACATTCTACTGATGTATCGCGCTTACTTGCACGAATTAAAAAAATATATTTGGCGCTGACACTTTTGCTAAGTGATGGACCGGGCTTCTCCAGCTCCAGGAAGTTATCTACTGTTTAATAAAAAATATTATATAGAATATCGCAAACGTTAGTAGGTCGTTTGTAGGTCTATGATAGATAAAAATTAACGTTTGATAGATCTTCCTATTTCTACAATAAGAAAAATAAAAAAGTTCAATATTTCTACGGAAGTTAGCCCCCTGTTTTTTTATTTTGCCGATAGAATGTTGAATTGCCGACTAAGTGATGCAGAATCGTTAGATGATTGATAGATGACATTCGGTCTCCTTTAATGCTCAATATATAAATTATTGACGTGAAACGGTTTTGGAGAAATGTGTTGTACCTAAATAGAGCCAAGTGTACCGAATGTATCTTTATCTTACTTAGAATATTACTTAGAATAGCACAATCGTTTGTAGGTCGTTTGTAGGTCTATTATAGACAAAAATTAACGTTTGATAGATCTCCCTATTTCCAAAATAAGAAAATTACCATTGGAAACCTTTTAACGCAACTTAATGAAAAAAACGTATTTCTTCCGTCTTATTATAAGCATTAATTGTACATTTTTACATTAATGTGCAACGTATGAAAAATGAAAATAAATTAAGTAAACATTTTTCTTTTTGATTATAGCAGTTTTAAAAATTTGTATTTTTACATAAAAAACACTGTCTATAATGTCAACTTTAAGTACCCGAAACGGCGTAATCGGCTTCTTATGCATATGGAGCCTAGATTGTCTAACGCTCGGGAAATATAACACAGTAGGGAGGCAAAAATATCACAGCTAAACGGCCAAATACGTAAACTTAATTTTGGACTCTAGATTACGATGGCGTTTTCAGAAAACCCGTATCACGTCAAAATTTTGAGATATTTAGGGGGGGAAGTTTTGGAGTTCTGAAAGTGAATTTTTCGTCGTTTAAAACACTGTGATCAGGTTTTGAATTTTTTCCTGGGCAAAGGTTTTGATAACTGATCGTACTTAACTGGGATCTTTTAAATTCAATGGCGTCCTCCGTATTTCANGAGGCAAAAATATCACAGCTAAACGGCCAAATACGTAAACTTAATTTTGGACTCTAGATTACGATGGCGTTTTCAGAAAACCCGTATCACGTCAAAATTTTGAGATATTTAGGGGGGGAAGTTTTGGAGTTCTGAAAGTGAATTTTTCGTCGTTTAAAACACTGTGATCAGGTTTTGAATTTTTTCCTGGGCAAAGGTTTTGATAACTGATCGTACTTAACTGGGATCTTTTAAATTCAATGGCGTCCTCCGTATTTCAAGATTGGCTCTAGTTTTCGAGATAACGGTGCTTGAAAATCTGCTTAAATTTTATGTTTTTTTTTTTAATTATTACCTCATTTTTAAGGTTATTTTACTAAAATTTTGCACGTGACTGTATTTTGATATTACCTTAGCTATTTCTGAAAATCGTGCAAATCGGATCACTATAATATATAGCTCCCATACAACTGATTATTCAGATATGTGGTTTTGCGTTACAACTCATATTTTATTTCGTAATATTTTTTTTTATAATAGTAGTTTATACACTGCTTGGACCTGAATTTGGGTTCTTTTCAATCCCACTCTGGCATATTTTTGTAGTTTCCGTTGTACGAATGGCTTTTTAATACCTTTTTTGTACTGTGAAAGCTGTTGTTCGTTAAAGTCAAAGTGACTGAGTAATGCTTTCAAATAGGCGGCGGTCTATACCGCGTCTATTTCACATAATTTGGGAACCAAAAAACACAAACCGAAAATCTACGCGCGCGATTACTGTCACATTTATTGATAAAAAAACATCGAAAATTTTGCAAAAAACTTTTATTCATCATATCATTGTCTTCGGAAACTCCTAAAAATGAAAAAAAATTAAAAAGCTTTGCAATAAATTAAACAAGTTTTGTTTCGTTTGTGGTAAATTCGTTTTGAAATCAGACCAGCGTAAATTAATCTCAAATATAAATGCACTAGCATGCTATAAATGGTACCTTTTGCAATCTGAACCTGCACAAAATAAATGCACTCCCGAATTCACGTGTGTTTCGTGCATTAGTGCGATGAATTTTTGGTGGACAAAAAAACGATTTTCGTTACCATTCGGTTTACTAATGATTTGGACAAATCCCGGAAAACACGAAGCTGAAAATTGTTATGCATGCACCAACAATACATTTGGTTTCAATCGAAAAAGTAAGTAAATTTAAATAAAACCATGAAATTATGTATAGTTTGCCCTCACCTTAATCGCTGAGTGTATGAAATAGGTAAAAGTTTCTGTATGTTTGGAAGGTACCACGCTAAGTATATCCAACCTTGGAAAGTCTGCAGCAGATGCCCAAATTAAAAAAAAAAAGGTGCAGAAAATGGTGCAGAACTTTTTTTAGTTTTTGTCCGCCGAACAAACAAACTTAACATTTGTATATCGATGGTTGAGTGGAAGATCTACCTATCTCGGAAGCCAGTTCGAAAACGCCCTATCTCAGAAAACTTTTCAACAACGCCCTACTTCAGACTTTGGTTGAAGAACGCACTATTTCAGAATTTTATTGAAAAACATCCTATCTCAGAATTTTGTTGAAGAACGCCCTATCTCAAAATACATTGAAAATGTGCTGAGATAGGGCGTTTTTAAATCGGCAGCTGAGATATGTCGATCTTCCACTCAGCCATCGATATATGCATATATACATATATACGTACATATACTCATAAATATTTAATTCAATAGATCGGTCTTGTGTCGTCTACAAATGTGTACCGAGCGCTCATTTACCTGTTGCACATAGTGATGCATTACATGTTCCAAATCATCCATCCGAACTCGAAATTGTGTATGATTGCAAACAGTCTATGGCAACGCCGTTACCACTTCATGATGGATCTGATTACATTCCGATTGAAAACAATTCACCGTCTTTCATATCCCAAGAACACCTAAACAGCATGGTGCTTAAATTAAATCTCTCCCATAACAACGCAATGATTTTGGCATCAGAACTGAAAAGCGTGAATGTTTTAGCGCCAGGAGTAAAAGTAACGGCATACAAACATAGACAAGATCCGTTTATGCCATATTTCAAGTTATCGGGAGATGGCACTAAGGCTTATGGCATTGATGTTGCAGGTTTGATGAATGANTGGCACTCAGGCTTATGGCATTGATGTTGCAGGTTTGATGAATGAAATGGGAATTACTGACTATAAACCCGAACAATGGCGTCTCTTTATTGACGCATCAAAGCGAAGTGTGAAAGCAGTTTTGCTCTATCGCGATAGTAGCAAGAAACCCGTTCCCATCTTGTATGCGGTTGGAATAAAGGAATCATACGAAACAATGCAATTAATCTTAGATTGCATCAAGTACGAAGAGCACAGGTGGCGCGTGAACTGTGATTTTAAAGTTCTCTCACTACTATCACGCATGCAAAGGGCTACACTAAATACTGTTGTTTGTTCTGTCATTGGGATAGTAGAGCCAAATGCAGTCGCTATACCAAACGTGATTCGCCAAAAAGAAAGGAACAATCGATTCAATATAGTTCACGAGCCCTTGATAGCGCTTAATAAAATCATGCTTCCCGATTTACATATCCAACTTGGTGTTGTTAAGAATTACATCAAACAGTTGGTTAGAGTCAACGAAACTGTATTCCTATATTTGAAAAATAATACCTTTCCAAAACTTTCCGTTGAAAAAATCCGTGAAGGTAGTTTTTTGATTGTATATGAGTGAAAATCTCTCAAGTGGTTGTAAACCAAATAAAGTGATTTTTGCGAAAATATCTTGACCGTCCAATTTTGGGTGGCCCATTTGAGAGATTTTCGCTCATATATTTTATTATATATCTCTCTTGCTTTAAGAACCCTATAATTTTTATTTCAGGTGTGCTTAATGGGCCGGACATCAGAAGATTAATGAAGGATCAAGGCTTCTTGGAAATTCTTGATCGTTACCAGAATATGCCATTTTTATTGCGAACTTGATGGAATGTTTTGACGCCTTTGATGTGCACATGTCGCTTAAAATCCACATGCAACAGCTTGCAACAGAAACCGACGAGGTAGGAGAGAGATTTCTCCAATCCATTATGTGTTTTGAGGACCGATTCGCTGGAAAACGATTGAATTCAATGTTGGCGGACTTTTTCTGGTCGATCGCAGGAGGCAAAGGATATTAAAAAAATCATTCGAGCAATAGAAACTAGCCAAATATGCCAAAATGGGATTGAAGAGAACCCAAATTTAGGTCAAAATAGTATACAAACTAATATTATAAAAAAATATTATGAAATAAAATATGAGTTGTAACGCAAAACCACATACATATCTGAACAATCAGTTGTGTGGGAGCTATATGTTATAGTGAAGCGATTTCCATGATTTTCAGAAATAGCTAAGGTAATATCAAAATACAGTCACGAAACGTAATAACCTTAAAACTAAGGTAATTATTAACAAAAAACCTAAAATTTAAGCAGATTTTCCAGCACCGTTATCTCGAAAACTATAGCCAATCTTAATTTAAAAG